TGGAAGCATATTACTAGAACCGGTGGAAAAGCATGACTTAGTTTTATGTAATACCAGTCAGAAGTGTGACGGGCACATAACGTGGGAAACTGGCAATCTACATTCAACTATAGATTACGTACTCATGTCACACAAAATATATGGTAAGTTACAAGTAATGAGAATAGATGAAGAATGTTCCAAAACTCTTGGTTGTGATTACAAACGTATTAAGCTGAATTTTGCCAGAGAAGTAAATGCTGAAACTAGACAACATAATTCAAAGCAAACTTTCTGCAGCGACAAAGAGTTGGAAATAGTTGCTGAAAGAATAGAGGATGCAGTTTCAGGGCAACGCTATGCAGATTGGACCCATGAGAGCCTAACTAGACTTTTTGCTCTGGAACTATAGCCCGTTGCAACCTAAGAACGAAGGGCGAGGGTAAAACGGGCTGGGAAGGAGGAAGCAGACGGAACGCTGGAGAAGAGAAGGGGAAACCTCCTCTCTTTAGCGTTCCGTCTGTTTCCTCCTCCCCGGCCCGTCTTACCCTCGCCCTTCGTTCTTAGGTTACAACGGACTATAGACAAAGTTCAGAGTAAACGAAAGGGGAAGCAAGGAAATAGACCAAACAGCTGGTGGGACAAAGAAGTGAAGCAAGCGATAGAAAACGTCAGGAAGCATCTAGAGAAAAGAGGCATTCCAAGCATACACTCTAAGAAAAAGTCGAGGAAAAAAGTAGCAACGGCGCGTCTTCCTCCCTTCTACTGACGCGCCCCCAAGCGGACACGAGAAACAGGGAGGGACGAAACGTTTTTCTCCTTCTCCAGGCAGACGGGAGAAAGCTTTCGCCCTCCCGACTCATCTTCTTTCGGTTTCGTTTTTCGAGCAGGTCGCGCACGTTGTTTAATAAATGGCTGTTGAGTTGATTGAGCTTCAGCGGCAGTGAAGGCCGCCTGTAATTCCGTCTTCTAGTCTAAACGTGCAGAAAATTTCGGTTGCATTGATGTTTTTATCACTAATTTTATCAAACGAGCAAACGAAGCCGCTAGAAACAGCGAAGTTCCGGAGTAGTGACAGCAGCGCCACGTACACTGGGCAGGATGGCCGTCTCCGGATTGCAAGACTCACGCGGCACAGCACTACACTAACGAAACCACGCGGAACTGTGTCGACGTTTTCGACGTTATGGAAACCGCAGGAACTGCGTCCAAGACAGGCAGGTTTTGCTGTCGGCTGCCTGGGTGCTTTCCGTGCTGAGTTCGGCTCTGCTTCCCGATGCCGAGTGCAACCGGCGTTCAACGTGGTTCTGTATTTGTGCGTGTCAGCAACATAGCTGCAACATCGTGATTGCAGTGTTGTGAGTTGTGAACAGAAGACTGGAATTATCGCCGATGTGACCGTGTGTTCGCGTATCAGTGGTGTAACAACAAGATGAGATCGTTAACTGTCGGGCATTGAGGCCGCTGGTCGGGCCGTGATCGGAGGGGGCGGGGTGTTGCAGGTAGACATTCCGCTTTACATAAAAAGTTTAGTATCATCTGAGGGATTACGTGCAATCGATCAACGTGGGGATAGTCATGTTGGAACGCTGGTCTGAACAGTATAAGCTCCTATCGTACAGTGGCCAATGTGACTGTCGGTTGTCTCGTCCCCGAGAGCGATTGCGCTCCATGGGGCAAGGACAGCAGTACGAAATCGTGACGGAAAGTACGTATATTTACAGTGGAATTTTAGCATTAAAAAACAATAGTAGGTAAAATCGAAAAAAAACTACCCTTCATTTTGCTGTTTAAATATACTACGGTTCCTGGAGAAACTGCCCTCCAAGTGGAGTGCTGAGATGAGCGCTAGAAGTTTTCGGGCTCGCCACGGCGTAGCTCCGTACACTTAACACCTGCCGCAAGTCGCGGCTTTGACTGCATTCAAGTTGATCGAAAAGCGATTTCTCAGCCCGTGAAGCATCACTTCCAGCTGAGTGAATATCCGCTCTACAGAGATTAATTCAAGACGGCAATTGCAGCTTTGCGCGAACAGCACAAATAGAAAAACAAACACTACAATAGAAATACAGGCTACGACGTGCCGTGCGGGGAAACAAACTCATGGCTTCGAACCGCATTGGAGCGGCTTGATTTATTGGCTTTCAAATAATTACGGCATGATCGAGCGTTTGCTTTTTATTGGCCGGAGACATTAACATAGACGTGCGAAATGCTTCAAAATATGGTGTCAGCGATTATCTCTACATGATAGCAGGCTACGGTATTGAAAAAATGATTACAGATGTTACCAGAGAGGAACATCTTGGAAACAAGATAACAAAAACTTGCATTGATCACATATTGGTTAGATTTGATGACATGTCGACAATGGCTGGTGTAATACAAAAAAAGCTATCTTATCATTATTTTACTCCCTTTGTCGCACTATAGGAAATTCCAGTTGCAGGTAAAAAAAAACGAGGGTAAAGAAATAACCATAATCGACAATAAGATGGTCGACAAATTAATCTCGGAGTTTGATTGGAGTTCTTTGTCGCACTATTCCCATACCTGCTTGGACGAAAGTATGGTAAAAGAATTTAATAATATTTATAAAAAAAGCTAGCAGAAAAATTATGGTCAAAGAAAGAAATCTGGAAAAGAAATGGGTCGACTCAGAAATTTTAAAGTTATGTTATATCTAAGATAACCTATGGACTAGGTGTAAACAAAATCCGGGAAATGAAGCTTTAAAAGGAGATTTTCGATCAATAAGAAACAAACTAACAGCCAAGCTCAGAATGGCAAAACGCAATTACTATGTAGCAAAATTTGAAACCATGAGAGATAGTACGAAAGAAACATGGAACTTAGTAAATGAGTTAACAGGTAGAGAAACAAGACCAAGTATTGACGACACAATTACAAGACATTTTGGTGAATCAGCCGATCTCGTCTCACTTTGTGAATTATTTAGTAGAAAATTTGTCAACAATGTGTCGGACCTGCGGTCTAATATTAACTATCAGATGCAAACCGGAAGGTCACAGCATAAGCAAAATTTGGAATCCGCATATCTTCCTTTGATGACGGAAGCAGATTTACGCGAAATCATAAGCACTATGTCGATAAAAAAAACCGTCAGGAAAAGATAAGATTCGTTTAAGAGACATTCTATGCAATTTGGATAAAATGAAAGACGTTCTACTAGCACTTTTAAACGGTATATTCATTACGGGAGTTATCCCGGATGGACTAAAAAGTGCTATAATGAGGCCATTGTATAAAAGTGGTGGAAAAAAAAGAGCTAGGAAACTATAGACCGCTATCTATTATGCCAGTGATTTCTCATGTTATGGAAAAATACATTGCCAATATAATGAATTCCTTTTGTAATAAATTTGATTTAATTAATAAATCGCAGTACAGCTTTAGAAAAGGAAAAAGTACAACGATGCTGCTCGAAGATTTCACTGATATTGCGAATGAAGCTCTAGATCATAATAAAATCTGCTTAGCCCTTTTTGTAGATTTGCCGAAAGCTTTTGACACAATAGATCATTCAAAAATGCTTGAGAAGTTGCTCACGTTCGGTTTTAGAGGACCATTTTTTGAGTTTTTTAAAAATTATTTTTCAAATAGAACCCAGTGTGTTAAAATAAAGCAAAATATTAGCAAGGAAGTACATATAAATTATGGAATACCTGAAGGGTCTTCATTGGCCCCCTTGCTATTTAATATTTTTGTAAACGATTTGGGAAACCTGAAATTTCAGTCAACGCTATTTCAGTATGCAGATGATACGGCTTTAATTTTTCCACATGAAAACTATGAAGTGGCAGTGACAATATTCCAAACCGACATTAATCTATTATCCAATTGGTTTACTGAAAATCATATATTTGTGAATTCAAAAAAGACAAAATTAATGTGTTTTAGAAATCCCCACAAGCGTGTCTTATTGAATCGTTCTGTATTCCTTCCTGGAAACAAAGGGGTGCAGGATACTGAATTGAAATATGAGGCTAGCGCTAAATATCTTGGACTAAATTTCGATGAACACATGACTTGGGAATGTCACATTGACTGCATTAAAAAAAGATTAAGAACGGTCTCATCATTTATATATCGTATTGGTACTTCAACATGTGCTCAAGTAAAGAAAAATATTTATTGTGCTTTAGGAGAGTCTATACTGAGATATGGCATTTTGATTTATGGATCCATATTACGAACCGTAGATAAACTAATATATAGGATAGTGAACAATATTGCATATGGTACACAGGTTCAACACTTAGACCTCATCAACAAACTTGAAGCATTTAATATAATTCAGTTGAGTATTTAATTTAAATATATAGCTATAAGAACAAATTATTTCTCTAGAACAGAATACAAACATCCGGTGCAGAAAAGGCCTCTCAGGAATATAGACAGATATTATTTGCCAAGAATAAAGACGCATTACGGAAAAAGAAGGAGAAGTTTTTATATCCCTTATATATTCAATAAGATACCAGAAGAACTCATTAGTTTAGACTCTTTAAAAGAAGTTAAAAACAAATTTAGAGCATGGTGTTTGCAAAACCAGATGTAAACATTTTTATATACAGATGTTCTGTTTATAAATTAAATACTTCATATTATCTGGGCGGTCTAAATCTGTTATTTTGCGACGGCAGAATTGTTTTGTTCTAAATGCTTACGGTTAAAAGTTGTTGTTTTTGATTGTTTGGTTCGTATAAAGAAAACGTTCCCGTTTCTTCGGTGGGCGTGATATTTTGTAAGTCATCTATTTGGTTGTGATAATGAGAAAACAAGATAACACTTTTTTTTTCTTTCTTTATTTTCATGTATATCTCCAAAGGAGTGAACTTGTCATTGATGTATTGTTGTTGTTTTGTTTGTGTTTTGTTTGCTTTTCAACGCAAATGGCAGCGTTGTATAAATAACTATTCGCGGCTGCCGGGCCACGTCGTACAAGCCTCTAGGCTTGGATTCCACTTCCGGCCACCGAAGCGAAAGGACGTGTGAGCATGAGCTCCGTCGGAGCGGGTTCAGCGGCCGCTGGCCGCGGTAACAGGAACATGGCTTCTGCCGAACAGGACTACCAAGTTATCCTGCCAACGCTTCCAACAATTGCAACAATTTTGAATACTGCTTTTTTGCACGCCGATGTGACCATGAGGCCATACCGTCTGGAACGTTTTCGTGACGCCCTGGTTGGCCTGGCGCTGCTCCCCGAGGTGCTCGCCTTGGGGGCGTACCAGTACAACCACGTTTGGGCCGTCACCTTCAAGAGTGTCGAGGGCAAGAAAAAACTGCTCGCCGCCGGGGATTTCACAGTCAAGGAAGGACGGTGCGTCGTTGTCGACCCAAGCAACCAGGACACGCGGCTGAAGCTCCACTGGCTGTTGCACCAAGTCCCGGACGACGAAGTGCGAGTGGCCTTGGCGCCCTACGGAAAGGTGACGGAAGTCGCCAGAGACGTGTGGCGGGCCCAGGGGTGCGCCGGCATGTTGTCCACGACGCGCTCGGTGTCCATCAGGCTCAAGGCCGGACTCACCGTGGACTCCCTCCCTCATCAGCTGCGCGTCGCTGGGGACCTGGCGCTCGTGGTTGTACCGGGCAGGGCGCCGCTGTGCCTTCGGTGCCGAGGGAAAGGCCACATTCGTCGAGAGTGCCGTGTACCGCGTTGTGCTCTCTGTCGTCGCTTCGGCCACGAAGACAGCCAGTGCATAAGGACGTACGCTAGCGTCACGGGGCCCGTGGGGAATGAGGACACGTCCGAGCTACTCATGGATGTGGTCGAGTCCCAAGAAGCAGCCGGAGGCGAAGGTGGCGAGCCTCCTACAGAGGCGACGCCCACCGGGCTTTCCGCCGGGGACAGAGCCGACGGCGGGAACGACGGTGAGCGACGCCGTCATCCTGAGGCGCTGCCTGTGGACGGTACCCCTGCTTCGAAAGGTGTCACAGAGACCGCAGTTTCGGCTGTGGCGGCGACGCCCAGCGAGGAGTCGGAAGCCATGAGTGTCGGGGAGGCAGGCTCCAGCGGCGCAGTCCCCAAGCGGGCTCGCGAAGACGTCGACGAAGGTCTAATCTTAAGTGCGGTCCTTCCCGAGGAACCGCCCCGAAAAGCGACTCCTGTGCGTCGGGCAAGCCTCAAGCCTAAGCCCAACATCCCTCCGGAGAGGCGACCACCGGCGACACCACCCCCGTAGGTGCGATAACCCGTTTTTTGTTGGGCACCTCTTCTCGGACTGGAAACCGACAAGACTTTGAGGGGACGATGTCCTCGTGCCGCCGCTTTGTGGCCCGAACTTTCGGCGAACTGTCTTGTCGGACCCACCGGGCGGCACACCGGGACTGTGAGTCTGTCGTCGTTTTTCAGCGACTTGAGCTGTGCACCATGCGGCCCGTTTGATCTAGTTTTTGATGGCAGTAAGCCTTGAGACAGCGCTTCGCGTCGCTACGCTGAACGTGCGAGGCCTGGGAGCAAGGCGGCGGCAGTACCAGCTGAGCCGCCTTTTCCTGGAAAACGACCTTGACGTAGTCGCTGTCCAAGAGACAAAGGTGGAAGGCGAAGAGCAAACGGACCGCATGGTGCAACCTTTCAGATCGCGATACAATGTATGTGTGTGCCACTCCGTTGGTACATCAGGGGGTTGTGCTCTTTTTTTTGCGTAATTCTTTGGGAATTGTGGAAGAAACAGTGATTGTTTGTGAATCAGGCCGCTTGATTGTTTGTGATTTTTCTTTTTCGGGGTTGCAGTGGCGAGCTATCTGCGTTTATGCGCCAAACCGGGAGAGTGATAGGAGAATGTTTTTTGAACACGTTGAAGCTTATCTGAACTGTGAAAGATTTGTTATTTTTTTGGGTGATTTTAACTGCGTCTGCGCAATAGAAGACAGGGCGCGACAGCTGCCGCTTCGGGACCAGAGTGCTTTATTTTTGAACTCGTTAGTGCAGGAGTGCAATTTAGAGGACGTCGGGTTTGTTTTGTCGAAGGCAGATTTTCCCCAGTTTACACACTTCCAACGCGAGAGTCACGCGAGGCTAGACAGAGCGTATATCTCCGCAGCCCTGGTTCCCCTGTGCGAGAATTACGAAGTGAAACAAGTTTCTTTCATTGATCATAGTCTGGTAATATTTTCAATCGGATCGAGAGAAACAAAATCGCAGTTCAACTGGGAATTGTGGAAATTTAATGATAAGCTACTAAGAGATGAGATTTTTATGTACGGGGTAAAACAAAGCATTGGGAAATTGCTGGAGGCTGAGTCGGGAAACTCTGTTGTACTGTGGGAGCGCTTTAAAGATGAAGTCAAAATCAGCGCGATTGAAAGATCGTGTATCTTACGCCGCCAGGAAAAGCAAAAAGAAAAAGAGCTACAGTGTCATTTAGATTTCCTTTTAAGCGTTGAATGTGCACAACCCGGAAAGTTTACGAGAGAAATAAAAGAAGTTAAAAGTAAACTGGAGCTTATCGATGTCGAAAAATATAGAGGAGCCGTGATAAGAGCCCGCGCCGAACGTCTGTGGTTGGGTGAAACGCCGACGAAGCGTTCACTTGGGAATGAAAAAAGATATGCGACGCAAAATGAAATAAAAGAAATAGAGCATGGGGCCGTGGTGACTCGCGATAAAAAGACCATCGAACGCGCCTTCGTGGAATATTATCAAAATCTTTGGGGTCGCCGCAGACACGTGGAAGAAGGATTTGCCAGCGTCCTTTTGCCACTCATGCCAAAATTAGATGACGAAATTAAAGCCGACCTTGAGGCACCGATTAGCGTGAGAGAAATAGAGAAGGCTATCGACGAACTGAATCCAGGGAAATCGCCCGGTCCCGGCGGCTTAGGTGCCGCCTTCTACAAGGCTTTCAAATCTGATGTGGCGGAGGTCCTGCACCGCACGATAGCGGAGGCGTACGATAGAAAAGCAGTGCCTCCATCCTTCCAGAAAACGCATATAGTATTAATCCCCAAAAGTGATGATCCCGCGAAACTGTTGTCTGTTAAGTCCTACCGTCCCATTAGCCTAACAAACGTTGACTATAAAATCGTCATGAAGGTCTTAGCGCGAAGGCTGCAAGGTGTAATAAAATCTGTTGTCGGGCCCCACCAAACATGTGGCATCAAGGGGCGAACGATTACAACTAACATACACGTAGCAAGAAGTATCTTGGAATGTTGTGATGCTTTCGAAGGTCGCGTAGCCATGTTGCAGCTTGATTTCGAAAAGGCGTTCGATAGGGTAGCACACGACGTCCTTTTTTGTATTTTAGAGCACGTTAACGTTGGGTCTTTATTGTTGGAATGGGTTAAAATGTCCTACGCGGAGTGTTTTGCGAGTGTGATTGTTAATAAGAAAGTTACTGAAAGTTTTCAAGTACTCTCCTCGGTACGGCAAGGATGCCCATTATCACCATTGTTGTTTGCTCTCTATTTAGAGCCTTTTTGTTTAAAACTTCTTTTCAATGAAAGAATACGCGGTTTTAGGCTGTTGTCGAGTGAAATCAAGGTACTTTCGTACGCAGACGACGTTGCTGTCTTCTGCGACGACAAAGAAAGTATTTCCGAGGTAGTGAAAGAAGCACTTAATTTTTGTAAATTTTCGGGCAGTGTTATCAATTGGGATAAATGCGTGGGCTACTGGCATGGTAGCTGGGAAAGTACACCAGCTGTTTTTGAAAGAGTTACTTGGTCTTGTTTGCCGGGCAGGTACCTCGGAGTGCCGCTTGAGCACTACCGCGATTCTACTGAGTACTGGAGGGAAGAAGTCGAGAGGGCTCGGGATAAAACGGCAAAGTGGGGGGCTCTAAATCTTTCAATGTTTGCCCGCTCCACAGTTTGTAATTTGTTTATCGTTGCTAAAGTCTGGTACGTGCTCCAGGCTTTGTGTATGTCTAGAGTAAGCGTTCAAAAGTTTCACCGAGTGTTCGCGATTTTTGTGTGGGGGTCGGTGTGGGAGCGCACCGGTCGTACAAATCTGTTCCGCTCTGTGAAAAGTGGCGGGCTAGGACTGGCTCATCTGTTTCTGCGACAAATGGTGTCAAGATTTATGTTTCTGCGGGATCAGGGGGATCCTTTTCTGCGGTCTGTATTACAAGTTAGGCTCCGTAATGCATTGTCTGAGTTTGTTGTGTCCTCGAGTGATGTCAGATGTACGCGGGTTCGAGGTTTTCTGCGCGAAGTGATTTTGGCTCTCCATTTTCTCAAGGTTCGATTTTCGTTGGAGTACTTAAGCGAAGTTACACGAAAGCGCCTGTACAAAGACTTAGTCGAGGTGGTCTTCCCTGTGCCTTTGTATAGGTCTCTTTTCTGTGAGGGCCCGGGCCAGGATGTCCTCAAAAGAGTTAAACGGATGCCAGTAAGGCCAGCCGTGAAGTCTTTCTTTTTTCAGCTACACACCGGCACGCTTCCCGTTAAGCCCTGGCTTGAAGAAAAAGGCATTTTTGTTCCTTGGTCGATTAACTGCCTCTTGTGCCGGAAGCCCGAGACTATCGATCATATTTTCTTGGATTGCTGGGATGCGGTATTCCACTGGGACATTATGCAGCGTACTTTAAAAAAGAGTCTCCCAGTGTCATCCTATGGCATCCGTTTTCTTCCCGTAGAAAATGAAGGGGGCGTTCCCTACGACATGTTTATGGCCTTGGCCCTGCACAGCATGTGGAAATCGAGGATGGCTGTGCGACATGCTGACGTCGATGCTTGCCCCGTGCGGGATTACTTTATCGAGCATATTGTTCACTTAAGAGAATTGTACAGAGCACAGAGTGAACAGCCTGACTGGATTCCAGTGTTAGACAGTCTTGTCGCCCTGAGAGTCTTTTAAACCATGTGCCCCGGCCAGGCCGAGCCGGATGCTTTTAACCTTCAAATTTTGTGCGATTGTTTAACTACGTTTATGTTCCAAACCGGCAATAAAGAAAAAAAAAAATACAAGCCTCTAGGCTTTGACGGACCCGATTTTCTGTATTATGAAAAAAAGACCAATAAAAATTATTATTATTATTATTATTATTATTATCCCCTGAGCCATTCAAAATACACCCAGAGGTATGACATTGCTGCAAAAAAATCAACATGCTGGGAATATTTTTTATTGCTTATTCAGTCACCGAAAAATTCCGTCCGTTCAAAACGACCATTATAAAAGATGGAAACGCAGAGTATGGGTGTAGTGTTCGGGTTAGTGTGGTGTTCCGTTGTACTGATTTTTGTGTGTGCCGTGTATGTTCTCAATGAATGTTCACCTGATGCTTCCAATAAACGAAATGTGTGTATACTAGAGGATCCGCAAGCGCGAAAGTGCCCTGAGGTAGTCAAATTATTTTTTGAAGAACATGAATTGGGCGGTACCTATCGCCACCTAGCCTAGCTACTTGCAATTACTCTGCTTGACCCCGCCATCTGGTGGCTAGCAATTTAACCTTCTTTCACGCTACGCGATAAACAGCGGCTTCGACTTTGTTCTATCGAGAGCGGTTTTTGGTTTCGCGGATTGAGTTTGCCCTTCTCCGTGATGTGCGGTTGACGAAGGAATTGTGACTCGAGGAACACCAAAGGTAAGACGCGAAGTGTGCGAAGAAACTGGGTATCGGTTGTCCCCGTTTAACATCGCAGTGCTGTCGACGAGAAGACTGAGTAACTGCTTTCGAAATGCAAGTTTCTGTAGCTGCGAGGGGAATCTGGCTTCGGAAATAAACACAGTTCGCGGAAAGCTCGTGCTACGCTTTTATTTGCTGCTTCTCTCGTCCCGTACAAAAGACGTAGCGTCCTCGTCAAGCCTTATTGGGCTCGATCTGCTCGATTCGGGGCCGCCATATTGAGGTGCAAGCGACGGAGGAACTTTGCTCCCCTGCTTCAGGGACGAAGGTTTCTCCCTTTCTTAAGGAACATAGGTTACAAGACCGTTCCTCCCCTAAGGGAGGACTATCCATACCCTTTTTTCTAAGAGTGTAGTGGGGAGTCAGAAACGGAGGTAAAAAGAAAATGGGACACTTTTATAGCATGTCGCCGAAAGGCATACAGATTGATCAATGCGAAAATTCAGAGAAAGGGTGAAGAATGGATGAGTAATGTAAGCAAGAAATATAGATACTCAGCCAAGAAGTTTTGGGAGCACTTGAACTCACTC